AGGTGTGGCGGAGGTGACATTTCGTGGCAGGTGCAGTACTTTGTGCGTGTAGGAGATGTGGACGTGCAAATTTCATGGCAGGCGCAGAGAATCGTGAGGTTTGTGAATTGTGGTGGAGGTGAATGTCGCTGTGAGATTGGGATTGGCGTGTGAGCGGGCGTAGCTTGGAGGGGATGGAATCGTGATGAATCGCGAAACTGCTGGACATATGACTTTTGGAAGATACCCGGGAATTTTGGAGGAAGTCTCGTACGAAACGCCCGCTTTGCAGACTCAAAGCGTGAGTTTTTGATGAAGTCTCGTGCGAAACGCTCGTTGGGAAGACTTGACTTGTGAATTTTGGAGGAAGTCTTGTACGAAGCGCTCGTTTTGTAGACTTGCAGTGTGAATTTTTGAGGAAGTCTCGTACGAAACGCTAGTTTTGGAGACATGAGGAGACTTTAGTAGGAGTGCCCCACAAGAGTGTGCCATAAAGAGTCTCTTACAATTACAAAAGTGCCCCACAAGAGTATCCGACAAGAGTGTCCCACACGCGTGTCCCACAAGGGTGTTCCATAAGAGTGTCCGACAAGAGTGTCCTACAAGAGTGTCCCACAAGAATGACATACAAGAGTGTCGCGCAAGAGTGTCCCACAAGAGTGTCCCGCAAGAGTCCGACAAGAGTGCTCCACAAGAGTGTTCCACATTGTCCCACAAGAGTGTCCGACAAGAGTCTCCTACAAGTGTGCCCCACAAGAGTGTCCGACAAGAGCGTCCGCCCACATGTTCTACGCTCTGAGTGTGCTTCTTTCGATTCGTCTCCAATGCCCACCTGCCCGCAAGTGATGCGCAGGTTTGCTGAGGACTTGAGTAGGACTAATACTAAACAATTGCAGGATGCTACAGGGCTGGGACCGGGACCTGAAGATGACATTTGCCCCCAATTTGAGTACTCTAGGTGGGTATCCACTTGCCCTAGATTCCACCCGGTGCTGCTTCCCCAATTGCCTTGTCATCCATGGAATTTGTCTTCGAGAGACCCTTCCTGTTTCTCCTTGCTTGCTGCAGTTCTTTAATTAAAACACATGTCAAGTGGACAAGTCAGTCCCCAAAAGGGCGAGTTGGGTCTGAGTCTAGTAGACATCCAACCGTCAAGCAGGAAGCCGGAACGACGGCCGGGCCAAATTTGCTCAGTTCAAGCCCGGCGCTTAACAGCACCTGCCACTGGACAACTCAAGGAATAGCATGCCGGGTCTCCGCTCTTCAGATCCTTGGATTGGGGTCATGATGCATCATGACTTTGAGAGTCATGACCTGGCTGTTGGAATCAAATTAAATACTTCGTTGATGCCATATTTTTTGCCCTCGAACATATAGACGCCAGCTGATGTGGTCAGGTCTTCGTGCAGGAGCAGAAGTCGTCCGAAATACTTGAGGCTGGCCTCCTGACAGATCCAACTGCGGCTAGCGTGTTTCACAAGACTTCACAAAGGATTCACGCAATGGACCCAAGTTCAGAAGACTTCCGCAGATTACGAATCTGGGGGCCCTGCACCTTGAACTTGTGGCACCAAGTCAACAAGCCTGTGAGTTTCAGCAGTGATTAGACTCAGTAGATGATCTATCTCTTGCTCAAATGCCTCCACACCCTTGTGTTTTGGTGCTATGAATAGACTTTGTTTGGGAGTGCATGGAGGAATTTGAATAACCTCGCTCAACGCTAAGATCGTGATTGTGTTTTGTTCAGCTTCACAGCTTCACATCTCCGTTTGACTACCCTTAACAGAGAAACAGACAAGAAACATTGGTTGGGCCCGGTGTTTCACCGTTTTGAGACAACTAGCTTTGATATGACGAGAGGTGGAATGCAGAACGAGACAACTGTATAACTGTATAAGCCAACATGTTCTTTTGTGTCTTGCCGTGGTTTGTTCTTGGTGCCGATGCTGCCTTCAGACGCTTCAGAACCATGTTTGCAGGGAAGCTGTTTTTTTTGGGTCATGTTGGACTCATACCGCCTGCTGCACAGAATGCATTACAATGTATCGATTGTCCATGTGTCGCCCAAAACTACTAAATATCGCGGTTCTGGAGTGTTTTCCCAAGTGAGACTGATCGAATCAACAACCTTGTGGGCCTTATTATGTTTGTTGATGTTGTTTCATTTTGCTCTTGGCTTTGAGCAAGGGAAATGATTTGGTGATATTTGGTGATTTTGAGGGGAACATACGTGGATGTACTCATCGTACAATGCAAGTTATTCAACTGACATCTCAGTACAATTGCTACTACAGGATATTGCTGAGCAATCTCAAGTGCCAATTGGCAGTGGTGCGGCCCCACACTGCTACACTTTCAAGTCCAGCTGTAGCGAAGCATCAAATTGCACCTAACTGTGAGAGTGATCCTAGGCAAGACTTCCAAAGTGACGTCAAGTAAGTAGTTAACAGAGTGGTTGATGCGATCTCTGATGATGTCAGTTGAATTCCAAGTGGCCCAAGCGGTTTTGATTGAAGTCAGAAAGGTATTTATTCATTCCTTGGAGGTGCTGGTCGCAGCAGTGATGGCAAACTTGCAAATTGGTCACAGTAGAGGGCGTCCAAGGGGGGAGTGAGGTGGCAGAGCATCTGGACACGACTATGTCTGACTATGCCAACCTGGATGGAAGGCGCATGCTAGCTTCCAGAACAGCGGGAGATGTGGCGCACGGTGTTCAAACTAGGATGACAGACTCAGGAAGAAAAATTGAACTGAAGTCAGAATCCTCCCGCACTTAACAATCGGCTGCTTGTTTGTTGAGAAGAGTAGGCGGAGGACCTTGTTTAGCACAATATAAGATGGTGCAATCATGTGCAACCAATTCATTTCGCAGAGAGGGGGCTTTGAATGATACCAAAAGGCGTTTCACCTGTCCGCAGTGTTGGCACATGTCCGCCGGCTGTTCATGAACAGCCATTGAGCCATTGTGGATCGAATGATGCAGTTGTTTGAGAGAAGGATTTCCTTAATTCGGCATGGGCGACACGCTGAAGTTGGGCTTTCCGCATTGCGAGGCTTTCTGGGCATGGATCAGCAAAACCAATGCAAGCACCAAGTCACGAGTCTTTCGATCAAACATGCTGAAAGAACACAGGTACAGCATAGGCATTGACATATTCTTCATACTTCTCCTCCCAAAGCTTGGCCTCTAGGAATCATTAGGCTCACTAGATTCAGTCTTTTGGATTCTTTTGGATGGTCCTGGCAGGTGAAAGTGGAGCATGCGGAGTTGTGCTGCTTTGCATTGGTGTGCAGAAGATTTGAATTTGCCGGGGTCAAAATGGAGTGGTGGCTGGACGGATCGCGCTTGTGGGTGATGGCTCCCAAGCCAGCAGTCTTCGAGGTGAATTGTCACATGACCGGACAACAATTTGAGCTACCAAGCTCCAGGGAACATGGCTATCAAGGTCACTCGGCATCAGATTGTGCAGATGATGCAGTCCACATGTTTGACATCACAGTCCTGGAGATTGACGGGTTGTGTTTGAGGTCGCTGATTGCTGATCGGAACAGCTTGGTGAGGGCCCAAAAACAAGCAGAGGAGCTACACCAAAAGGATACTCTGGAGTTGAAGCACTTGCATGCCATACTTGGAGAAGAAGAGAACCAAGCAGGGAAGAGGATTAGAATCATGGCCGCTGCCGCTTCAAAGCTTCAATCCAAGTGGCGTTCCTTTCTGCAGCAGCAGCACTCCCAGCGAGACTGTGCTGAGCAGGATCGGCGGAACAGGCGCCAGA